ATATATATAAAGTAGCTTGAACAAAGTTTTTTTTGTGTGTGTTTCTATCCAAAGTTATTTTGTTGATCTTAGAGACTCAAGTAATTGTTTAAAACGTGTCCAAATTGAGTCACAAACTGAACAAATGAACAAACTATTTTACAGTTCCCATCATTCATTGCAGCTTGGTGATCATTGCTTTACATTTTATTACTTAATTTATGCGGATGCTGCTGTTGCTGTGACTGTTAGTTAGGTGTCATATGGTTCAGAGTTTGTATTTCTACTGAATTTGTAGTATATGTTAAGTATACATGCATCTCATTGCAACTGTTGGATTTAATATATTCTGTATGGTTGTAAAAATTTTGCCTGTAGTTTGTGATATTGCTATACCAGCTCAAAGTGGTTTTAGTGCATTGCTGTGGAGTTCTAAATGGTTGCTGAGTGTTTTCTTACTGTCTCATGTGAGATTTTTTACCATTTGATTGCTTAGAAAAGTAAAAGCTTAGCTCTATTCGGCAAGCTGTGATTAACAGCTTGGATTTTCCAGATTGCTCCACAATCAAATGCCTGCCAGGCTTTTGTTTGTGGACTATGAGCAACTATAATAATGGAAACATGCAGAAAAGTAAAAGCTAATGCATTGCGGTAATCAAATGTGGCGAAGCTTTTGCATGAAATCCAGTAACACTATGATAATCTTTACTAGCAATTCTAAGCTACATTAGTGTACTTCCTCTCCAAATTCTGCAGAACAAGCATCAACCCCGAAACTGAAGATATGATCAGAGTAAGTCTTTTTGTTGTCTTCACTGGACAGACCATTGAGAGCAATCAGTCGGCAATTATTGTGCACACACAAACACACACAAACACATGCATACACAAACACAGCGTATTTCAGTCGTCTAAAGTGCTTCTATGGTTCCAGACAGGCGCTCTGTATTAAATTACTGCTAATTTGTGTCAGGTTTTGGCTGGGTGAAGTTTATCTCGTGTGCATCAAAGATCATTAATTCCTGGTTTATATTCTAAAGTGTTCATTCCCAGAAGTCATAAACAATCCCACAATACATCTGCAGTTCCTCATTATGGATGTGACTGAATTCATCGAACTCATGTCTGGATGCAGAACGGGTCAAGACCTCCTGATTCAGAGAGCTTCTGATATCATCTGCTGTGACGACTCAACTCAACTTTTCCTTAGTTTGATTCTTGGAACTGATGAATTGTGGGCAACATGTCAAATGGCTCATAGATGATGTACAGTATGATGCTGTGAAAAAATGAATATGCATGTGTTGTAATTAAGAAAAGCAGTTCTATAAAAAGCATAGAACTGACATTCAGAATACTACTCTCCACACTATTGATTTGATTATTTACACAATGACAACAAAATGAACAGGACATTCACCAAGAACTAAAGTCAACTTGATGTTATAATTTATGATTAATCAACATATGATGAATCAAACTGATTTGTGCCAACAAGATGAATGTTTTCCAGAGACACGGCCCAACTAACACATTCCAGAATTCCCAAACCCTTGATAATACTTACTGATGATGTTTGTGCTGCTGTTTTCCCTCCATAATGATGTCATTTCCTGTTGGGTGATGTCATTAAGTGGCTTTTTTTTTTTTTGCTAGTTAAAGGAATAGTTCACCCAAAAATAAAAATTTGTTGAAAATGTGCTCACCCTCAGGCCATCCGAGATGTAGATGAATTTGTTTCTTCATCAGATTTGGAGAAATGTAGCATTGCATCAGTGTCTCAGCAATGGGTGCTCTGCAGTGAATGGGTGCCGTCAGAATGAGAGTCCAAACAGCTGAGAAAAACATCACAATAACCCACACCACTCCAGTCCATCAGTTAATGTCTTGAGACGTGAAAAGCTGCATGTTGATAAGAGATAAATCCATTATTAAGATATTAAAACTTCAAACAGATGCTTCTGGCTAAACTATGAGTCCATAATCCATAATAACGCTTCTTCTTTAACAAAGTGAAGGAGAGTTAAAGGCCTATTGAGGATTATCAGATTTTCACTAGACCTTAGCACCTGAAAAATGAACATCCACTCAAACCAAAGTAGTGGAATGATTTAAAATGCACTGCTGTTTACTTCATTGTAAGCAAACGATGTAATTTCCTTATTTAAATTGTGGGTTTAATATTTTATCCATTATATTATGAGCAAATGATCATTATAGCCTACAGGTGTGAGAGAAACAGAGGGAATCGTGGGCCAGTGCACGTCATCAGTCATCTATGTGCGGTCTAAGAAACTCTGATGGTTTCTTCACACAGAAAGCTGAGAGCTGCTGGCTGTCCGAGCTCTTGTTCAGTAATGTTCAGCTCTGTCACTGGTGCAGCTGATGCTGATGATGCTGATGTAAAGATGCTACAGCTGAACACAGCGCTCTGCTGCCTCTGGTGGCGCTGTGTGTCATTACATGCTGAACAACACAAATACAGGCCTACTGTAAATACACAGCACACTTTAATAACTGCTGAGTTCTTAATATAGTTAAATTAAAGTAATAGTGTTTTTAGATTAAGTCTGGTCAGTCACTGGTATGTTTTTCAGTATTTCAACTGTTGAATCAAACTATAATAAGTAATCATTTATTTATTTAACATCTTATTTCCGGGATCAACATATAGAATATTAATTAAATTAACCCCTCTATGTTAAATTGTCCTAAACGGACAGACACAATCAGCTGCGAGTGTTACTGGTTAGATAATTAAAGCGTTAGTATAAAAGCATCTCATGTGATGGGTTAATGAGAGAGCCAAG